ATATCTTCTTATAAGGTGGTTGCAACGAATAGGTGATGTGATTGTGCAAACAGCTTAGCTCAGTGCCTGGTACATGGTGTTTGATAAGTAGTGGCTACTACTTTTTAATAAATAGGAGAATGAAGGCTGCAATCCCCACCCCCACCTCCCACCCCCGCCCAGCAGCCTTTCACACATGATTCATTCCTCCCAGCCTCTCTTTTGCAAATCTGAAAAGGTCTTGATTCCTGGAGCTCCTAGAGGAGGTGGTTGCCCCCAGGAAAACCAACAGGGCCAGTAATGACCTGCTTTTTTCTTTTGTGATCACTTTGAATCACCAGTTCCCAGAATCCTTACAGTGGTAAAAGTGCAACCCCCACCCTACCTCCAAAACCCCTCCCCTACCAGATACACCCCCACCCCGGAACTCAGGACAGCACCTGTCCGCCCGGGGAAAGCAGCTGCCCTTCTGCTCAGCAGTGGGGCTGAACAGATGAAAGGCGTCCCTGGTGAGCGCCCCCAGCCCCCCAGCCCCCCATGGGACTTGGATAAAGAATGTCTGGGAGACCAGAAGGCGGACACGGAGGTATTAGTTTCCAGGAGAGCAGAGAAACTTGCATGTGTGGCTGCCAAGCCCACAGCGCCTGTGGAGGGGAGGATGTGGAAGTGTGGGAAGAAAGCAGGGCAGTGAGGCAGGGAAGTGGAGTTCTCTGCACCCACCATCCTGAATGAGCGGGGAGCAGAGGCCAGAGCTCTGGGTTCAGAGCCCTGTGGGCCTGAGGGTTTTGTTCTCGGCCTCAGGCCAGGGCAGCCTGTAAACACTAGCCCTCTGTGGTGAGGTTGTCCTGGTAAAAGTGTGGGGTTGGCTCAGTGTCACTGCGGGGAAAACAGCTGTAGCCACAGGCTGCTGGGGCGGTGGGAGAGACCACGGTGGTACCATCTTGGTAAAGCACAGGCAGCCAACATTTGTTCGGAGCTTCCTATGTCCCCAGCACTGTATTAACTTATTTAATCCTTAAAGTGACAGCCTGGAGTGGGTTCTATTATTACCCCCATTTTACAGACCAAGAAACTGAGGCCCACATATAAGTCACTTGATCAAGGTCACACAGCCATTGAGTAGCAGAACCATGATTTGAACCCATGCAGTCTGTCTCCAGAGGGTGTAATCTTAATCATTTCTGTTTTCCAAATTGCTTCTCTTCAGGGGCCTTAGCTCAGCAAGTACTTACACTTTCAATTGTGTGGTTATATCATGAATGTCTGTCTTCACAGACAATTCATATGAGACTGAAGGCATGAACTTTGCCTGCTTTTCTTTCCTGATTCTCCAACACCTTGCACACAGTAGGTGCTCAATATGAACTTGAAGGAATGCGTGAATAAAAAAATCAATGAATCTTTGAATGAGACACGCCCTCAGCCTTTCTAGCTTAGGGCGCAGGGCTCATCTCCTGCCCCTGCTCAAGCCTAGCAGCATCCCAGCGAGCGCCAGCGTTGCTATGGTGACAGTAAGAGCATCTTACCAAGCATCTCACTGAGTCAGTCCTCACTCAGGTGGCCTTGTCGGCTCCCTAGGTGTGCCTCTTTCTGGGTGTTGATCCGGGGAGTTAGTCACCGGTGCTTGGCAGGAGGTGGGAAGGTGTACTCCATTCAAACAGATGTGTGAAAAAGAAGTGTGTGTGTGTGTGTGTGTGTGTGTGTGTGTGTCTTGAGTTTGGTTGAATGTGGACCGTGTGGGGGGTACTTGCCTGCAGGTTTGTTGGAGAAGGTTGCCTAGGTTGGGGCATGGGGTGTCTTATGTGCTGGAGACAGATGCTGGGTTTGGGGTGGACAGTGTGGACATGAACGGGGCGTAAAAGCTGAGTGAAGAAATGCAAGTGAGTATTCCAGGGTTGAAACCCCTATTTTTCAAACCAAAAGCGAAAGCACATCATTCAACAAGGGGCTTCAGGTTTGTGAATGATTTATAAGAAAAATCTCACAAAGATAAAAATTGAATCACATTTAGTTAAACATTTGATAGCTTCCTTTATTGAAAAAAGGATATTTATATGAAAATCTGGAATGCCGGGATGCTGTCTGTGGGGGCTGGGGAGGGGACCCCTGCCTGTGAGCATATTGGGGCAGGGGTGGGAGGCTGGAGGCTCTGAGATCTTGCCTCAGGGCAGCCCTTCAGCTCAGCCTTAGGAGCTCAGAGGACCTTGGCCCCTACACGGCCCTGCACGGCCTCTGCTTCACCCAACCACAGCACTGATCACCCTGTACTGTGAGTACCTGGTTGAGCACTGTGGCCCCGATTAAAATGTATCACCAGTATATATATACATATTTATATGTATATATATAATATATAATATATGTTTTTTGAGACAGAGTCTTGCTCTGTCACCCAGGCTGGAGTGCAGTGGCGTGATCTTGGCTCACTGCAGCCTCTGCCTCCCAGCTTCAAGCGATTCTTATGCCTCAGCCTCCTGAGTAGCTGGAATTACAGACATGCGCCACCACACCCAGCTAATTTTTTGTATTTTTAGTAGAGATGTTGGCCAGGCTGGTCTTGAACTCCCGACCTCAAGTGATCTGCCCGCCTCCACCTCCCAAAGTGCTGGGATTACAGGCGTGAGCCACCGTGCCCTGCCTGTATGCTCATTAGAGAAGCACAATAACTGTTTGTTGAATGAATGAACAGATGAAAGCACACATATCGTTTCTCTAGCAGTGAAATTCTCAGCTAAAGGAACTCCCTTCTATCACACATTTGTATGCCTCCTTGCAATCCTGTCCCCACAACTCCCCACTATGCAAACACAGCCATACAAAACCCAGCAGGAAGGCACCTAGGTCTCTCTATGGCTGGGAAAGAAAGCCTTAGGCAAGGGGATAGCTACAGTGACACCCTCTCCTGGGCTGGTCCCATGTTAGAGATTCTGAAGCCATAGACTGATAGACTGAGTTCTAAACAGGCCCCACTCTCTGCATCTTCTCCCTGGCCTTGCCAAGCCCATGCAGTGGGCTGGGAGGACAGGTGAGAGCGGCCACTAGCCACCAACCTGGGTAGAAGTAAGCTACCGTGCTGACTAGCACAGGCAGGTGACTCAGCATGGGTTGACTGAGAATAGCTTCTGTCCCGAAGTCTAAAGCTAGAAGAGGAAATTGCCCCGACCCTTGACTTTTTCCCTAGTTAATCCAAGAGATGCTATGAGCCTCTGGTACATGCAGATCCCTTTAGAGATGGGGAAGGGGAAGACCTGGGAGCTACAGCTGCTTCCACGGTGATTCTGGTGTTCACCTGCGGGTGTTGAAGGCTTGGGTATTAATTCTTGGGTATTAATGGAATCAGTGCCCATCCATCCTCTTCCCCAGTCCTGCTCGTTCTCCAGGAACCACCTCAAATGATAACAATGACAACACTTACTTTGTGCCAGGAATGGTCCCAAAGCAATATATCTATACTTTCACACTTACTTAATCCTCATAACCCTATGAGGCAGATGCCATTATTATCTGTATTTCACAAGTGAGGAAACCAGGGCACAGAGGGGTTAGGTAAGTTGCCCAAGGTCACACAGCCAGTCAGTGGTCCAGGGAATTAATGACATCTCCTCTATGGAGCTTTCCTTCTTTGAGATTTCCCATCTGTAAACAGCCTCTCCCTGCTGTGAACTCAGAGATGCTGATTCTGGTGAGTACCAGAGATCACTTACTAGGCTGCAAGTGCTTTGGCGTCAGAATTCCTGGCATGCTGATATCTGCATGCCCAACAGCGCCCAGCTCAGGGCCTGCTATAGGAAAGCCTACCCCAGAGACTGCTGGGTGGGCGAATGAATGGGAGTGAGTGAGTATGTGAATGAGCCAACAAACAGGTTCATGAAGAGAGAGCCAAATGGAATTGGGATTTTCCCAGGTGAATTCACAGGCTGGTGGGAAGGGCATATGGGCAAGGCAGCAGCCCATGCAGGACTAGCCCAGGTGGGAAACATGCCTGTCACTGTGTGCCCAGCATTGGCCAGGTACCTTAAGGGACAGTCATGAAAGGTCCTCATCTTCAGAGGGCCGGGAAAGGAGATCCAATTAACACCCAAGAAGCAACTGGGGAACAGTTAGTTACAAAACAGTGACTACTGCCTGTGGGGACTGGAAGGGGCCCGTTAGAGAAGTCAGGACTGCCTTTCTGGAGGAGGAGGAGAAGAGGCTGGCACTGAGCTAGGCAGAGGGTGAGGACAAGAGAGAAAGACAGACGCTAGAAGATGAGGAGGCAGGAAAGAGCATAGTGATCTGGAGAAACGCGAGGATGCCAGTGTGAGTTTCTGTGGAGAGGAAGCAGAAATTGAAGCTGGCAGAGGGAGAGGCGTGGGTTTACAGAGACGTAGGTTTGAGGCAAGTGTGGCTCATAGATAATTTTTGCCAGGACTTTAAATACATATCTTAAATTTTAATAAGTACTTAACATAGTACTTATTTTTTAATTATATCTTTAATTTACATTTGTTGTAAAAGGAAACTTTACATCACTGTCATAAATTGAAAATAGAATAGAATAGAATAGAATAGAATAGAATAGAATAGAATAGAATAGAATAGAATAGAATAGAATAGAATAGAATAGAATAGAATAGAACCAGACCATAAGAATAAGCACAAGAGAAACAAAACCAGATTACTGCATCCTGGCTGGTGTCCACTCCCTCTGGAAGGCTCTGAGCCTGAAGCCTGCTCTCTCTTTGTTAAAAAAGAAATCAAGCGAGTCTAGGGAAGTGTTAAAGCATAGTAGCACCAAACCAAGACTTTCTCCATAGCTAGGTCAGCGAGACCAGAAGGAGATGGGAAAGGCCACGCTGTTCTCCTTCTGGGACCTGGTGCTGTCTGCCGGCTGCTCCATGGACTCCAGTGCTCTTTCTGTTACTCTTGAACCAGCATTCATTTCAGTAACTGATGAGTCTTTAATGCCCAGAGAGGAGCCCTGGCCCCAGCTCCATGCCCCCCTGTGCCCGGTCACACCTGAATGCTTCTCTCTCTTGCAGGGAATACCAACAGCATCTTTGCCCTGGACTACATCAGTGGAGCACTGACCTTGAATGGCCTGCTGGACCGGGAGAACCCCCTGTACAGCCATGGCTTCATCCTGACTGTGAAGGTGAGAACTGCATGGGCACCTCCACCCCAGGTAGAGGGGATGCCCCCGCTCAGATGCCAGCCTCCAGCGGTGTCCAAGGGCTCCTGCCCCGGTGGTGGCTGCAGAAGCATATCGCTTCCATGCTCTGCACTGCCTCCCGGGGTTGTGCCCAGGGCCCCGTTAGGAAGGCACCCAAATTATGAAGTTGTAGGTGTGCTGGGCGTGCCACATCCATTATCAACAACCACATGGGATGGAACTTGTATGCCCTCTCAGTGGGAGGCACACAGTAGGTGCTCATCCTGTGGTCCTTCCTTACTGTTGTCCCAGGATTCCAAGTTCTCTGTTGCAGCCACCTAGAATTCTGGAACTTGCCCCGTTTCTGGGGTTCTGTCCCACTTCCAAGTGCCACGGCTTCCTGGGTTAAGAAACAGCAATGCAGCAGGAAGGAAAGGAGGTGCTGGGGTCCCCACCCCAGAATGTGAGGCAGAGCTACAGTCCCACACCCCCTGCAGCCGCCTGCCACTCACGGTCGGTTGTAATTCAAATCAGTGACTTGCACAGCCATTCCCTGAGAAACCCATTTGGGGGTATGGATCCTGTCTGAGCCACAGGGGCTCTTCCCAGCCCAGGCCATCAGCCATCGATTGAGAGAAATGGGCGGCCCAAAGACTGAGGCCAGGGGCTCTGGGAAGGAGGCCCTTCCATTGCCATGGGGAGGACGGTGCAGCCCAGCCTGGCCCTTAATTGCTGTCCTTGACCTTGAGAGGCCCTGCTGTTCAGGTGTGGGTTAGCCATGGGAGGGTGTGCTCACACCACCGTCCTTCCCTCCCGTCTGCTCTCCTCCCATGGAGGTGAGGTGGTCAGGTCCACCAGAGAGAGCTGCCCCCTGGTCCCAGCACCCCACTGTGGGACTTGAACTCTTTCTGTCTTTATATAAAATGTGGGGGTGTGTTCTCACACTTAGCTGTGAACCCGAATCCCCTGGGAAGCTATTGAAAGGTATCTGTTCCTGTGTCTCTTACCCGGAGAGATTCAGATTCAGGTTGAAGTCAGAACTGGGAACGGACACTTCTGGGCCCATGGCTCTGGCCCACAGACTGGACACCCAGTTATCTGAATCAGTCCATCTATGCTGACGCTGACCCCCAGTGCCGAGCACAGGGTTCAGGACATAGCAGATGCTCAGTTTTCTTGATTAACCACCAGCACAAACATTCTTGGCCTCAGTTTCACCATCTGCCAAAGAGGATGAAGACTTCCCCCTTGTCCCTCGATGAACCCCCAGATCTGTCTTGTCCTCACCCCATCTCATCCATCTGCTATCCGTCTTAGGCTCCTACTACCTGAGCTAGAAATCGACTCTGGCTGTGAATCCTTGTACAAGTTACTTAATCTCTCTGAGCCTCAGTTTCCTTATCACTAAAATGGGGATGCTAACGATAAAATCTTCCTCCTGGAGTTGGGGTGAGGATTAGATGGGATCGTTCACATTGAAGCACAGTGGCTGGTGCTGAGAAAGTCCTTGGTAAGCAAGAGCTGTTGCTGTGATTAGCTGCCTTCACCCCGGGGTGACCGGTCTCTGTCCGCAGGGCACGGAGCTGAACGATGACCGCACCCCATCTGACGCTACAGTCACCACGACCTTCAATATCCTGGTTATTGACATCAATGACAACGCCCCGGAGTTCAACAGCTCCGAGTACAGTGTGGCCATCACTGAGCTGGCACAAGTCGGCTTTGCCCTTCCACTCTTCATCCAGGTGGTGGACAAGGATGAGGTGAGTCCCTGGACACATGGCCCATGCAGACCCACCACTCATCTGGGCCCACCACCCATCCGGACCACCCCCCTGCCTGGGCTGTCCAGGTCCTCAGCTATAAAATAGAAACAAACATTGCAGCACCCCACTCCTGGTAGGTTCTGAGGATAAATAAGGCTGAAAAAAAAAAAAAATCACTAGTCTCTACTTTTGGATTACCCCCTACACCCTGCAAAAAACATGTGAGCACATGTTTCCATATGTGTGGTTATTATTTAGAAGTTATGTACATGATCATCATACTAATCTAGTAGAGACATTGTAAAGCATGCACAAAAATGCAATTTTAAAAGGTAGAAATAAGGCCAGGTGCAGTGGCTCACGCCTGTAATCCCAACACTTTGGGAGGCCGGCAGATCACGAAGTCAGAAGTTCGAGACCAGCCTGGCCAACGTGGCGAAACCCTGTCTCTACTAAAAGTACAAAAATTAGCCGGGCGTGGTGGCAGGCACCTGTAATCCCAGCTATGTGAGAGGCTGAGGCAGGAGAATCGCTTGAACCTGGGAGGTGGAGGTTGCGGTGAGCTGAGATAGCACCATTGTACTCCAGCCTGGGCAACAAGAGCAAGACTCCATCTCAAAAAAAAAAAAAAAAAGTAGAAATAAACCATATGTGTATTTTCACACACCCTGATGGATCATCTGCTGCCCTCTCTGGGATGCCTGTACTCATTTTTGCTCCTGTTCAAATAGTGACCTTAGCAGAAAGTCTAATTCCTATTTTTGATGTAATAATGACCCCAACTTTTCCATGTGAAGAATGAAAGGACCTAAGTGCTTTGGAGGGGATCCCACGCCATAAGAAGACCCCTGCATCACCAGGGGTCTGCCCTGGCTGGAACCAGTCTTAAAAGGAAGTAAGGGAGAGCTGCAGAGGACAAGGAAGGAGGCTCAGGTTGGGGGCAGCCCCCTGCACTGCTCCTGCCACACCCTGCATCACAGGGGCAAGGGTGGGGAGGGGCAGGGCGGCCAGGCCTCTATGAGTTGGGGCCAGGTCTCCATCCCTTCAGGACCCTCTCAGCCTGCCTCCTCCCCTGCCCTCACCCCTCCTTGTGCCCCATCTCCCTGCCCGTCAGCAGCTGCCATGCTAATAGGACTTCTATTTATTACTGCTGCTCCTCCTGGCCCACTCTGCTCAGGAATTCCATTAGGTTTTCCAGCCTGAGGTGCTTCTCTTCAATTACTCCTTGCATGGGTCTGCTGTGGTGGCCTTGCTCCAGGCTGGTCTTCCTCCACCACTCTCGGAGGAGCCGTCTCTACTCTGGCTGCTTAGCAAGCGGCCCTCCCTGTTGACCCAGGAGCCCCTCTGCCCACGTCTCTTGCCCACTTCTGTCAGCTCCTCTCAACCAGACACGGTCCCCCAAGGACTCAGGGCACGTGGGCAAGTCAGTCCCACCATGCTCATGTGTGTGTGCTCAGGTGTGTGCGCACACGTGTGTGTGTGTGTGTACATGTGTGTCTCCACCTCCTGCTAAGGCATTCCATACCTATCTGTCTGAGGTAACTAAAGTATGTATTGATCACCTACTGTTTACAAGGAGCTATATTTAGCCTCTTGGGGAGCCAAGTGTAACCCATGGTCCTTGTCCCAAGGAGTCAACAGTGTGTTGATACAAATACAGTATGTACATTTTAAAATATATTTTAAAGCCAGGCACAGTGGCTCACACCTGTAGTCCCAGCACTTTGGGAGGCCGAGGCAGGTGGATCGCTTGAGACGAGGAGTTCAAGACCAGCCTGGGCAACGTGGTGAAACCCCACCTCACTAAAAATACAAAAATTAGCCAGGCATGATAGTGTGCTCCTGTAATCCCAGCTACTCAGGAGGCTGAGGCATGAGAATTGCTTGAACCTGGGAGGCAGAGGTTGCAATGAGTAGAGATCGCGCCACTGCACTCCATCCTAGGTGACCCTGTCTCAAAAAAAAACCCAAAAAACATATTTTTTAATGTAGCAGTTTTAAAAGGTGGGAAAAACAGGTATTAAAACAAGTTCTAATATGTTCTCACACCCTAATGGATCACTTTGTATTCCCCTTTAGGGCAGGCACCTCCTTTTGGAGATGACTGTATGAATGAGATGCTCAGAAGAAAGTCCCGTCTGTGGTTTCAGGAGAACCATAATGCCCAAGAGAAGAGAAATATGGATACCAGCGTGGGGTCCAGGTCCAGTGACCACAGGCAGGGAGGAGTCAGCTGGAGAAGGGGCAGTAGGGGCTGGGAGGATCAGGAGAGGCTCTATGGTGAGAAGGGCCTAGGGCTGCTCCCAGGGACACACAGGAAGGTCGGCTGGCCAGAGGAGGCCATAATCCAGGCAAGCAAGGATATGTGCAGTGGGGAGGCAGGCCAGGACCCTAGCCAAGGAATTGAGGCTTGATCTTGGAGGCAACCCAGCAAGGGAAGGCAGCTTGTGTGGGGGCGGCACAAGCTCTGGAGTCAGATAGGGCCTGTGTTTCAGCCTGGCCTTGCCATGTACTAGCTGTGTGACCTCAGGTAAAGTAATGAGCCTCACTTTGTCCATTTGTTTAAAAAGGAATAGAAAAGAAAGAGAATGTATACAGCAGCTTATATTGCAATAACGAGTTAGCCCCACATAAAGGTTGATTTCTCATGCAGATGAGAGGCCAGCACAGGTGGGCAGGGAAAGCCCACCCCGTGTAGTTGCCAGCGGGCACAATCTGCAGGTCCCTCGGTCCCTGCAGCACGGAAAAGGCAGCTGAAGGCCTAAGCACCAGCTCTTCTGTGCTTCATCCCAGAAGTGGCTCTGCGACTTCTACCCAATGACTATTGGCCAGAACTAGTTATGTGCCTCCACCTCGCCACCAGCAGGCCAGGAAGCATGGGGAAGGTGCCAAGTAGTTGTCTCTGCCACAGAGGAGGAGGCATGTACAGGGCGCGGCACAGCACCTGTCTCACAAACATTAGCCGTTGTCATCATTGAGGAGCTGTAGCTCCTGACCAGGACTGGGTCCAGCAAGCACTGCCAGCTATAAGGCTGGAACCCCCCAGGCCTTCTCACCCCAGCTGGTTGAGGGCAATGTAACCCTGACACCTCCGGTTTTATCTCAGGCTCCCTTTGCTAGAAGCGCTTTCTGAAATGTCTGCAGGAATGCTCAGGGGTATCTGGGTCCAACCCGCCTCTAGTGACTGCCCCCCACCCAGGCTCAGCCATTGGCATACCCACTGCGGTCAGGGCACCCAATGCCACCAGGGACCATTCCCTGCTCTCCATGGCTGTTTTCCCAAGGGAGCTGGTCAGTGTCTCTGACAATGCAAGCCTGGCCTCCTCTTCTCCAGGGCACAGTGAGTTGCAGAGACAGAGCCAATGAGGAGAGGCAGCCCAGGAGCCCAGGCCACCCAACCCTGAGGTCACCTTGGCCATCTTCCGGCCTCCGGGTGGGGTGGCCCCCAAACCATCCTGCATGTGGCACCGGGCCCATTCCTCAATAAGAGGGAGGGATGAGTTGCTTTCGGCCCCTGCCCTGCTCCCGTGTGTCTCGCGTCCTTCTCTGGAGGAATCCAGAGCTGGCCGGGTGAATGCTGCGGAGGACCAGTCTCAGGTATAGGGAGGCCCCACCATGACGGAGGATCAGGCCCAGGCACTTCGTGGAGCATGTAGCCACATTGTCAACAGGAGCAAAAGAAGAACTGCAAAAGCAGTTGAACATTGCCTGAGTGTCCAGAATCAGAAAAAACAGGGAACCACAAAGAGAAATCAGGCAACTGTTAGAGAAAAGATTTTTAGAAAAATGTTGTTTCTTGCCGGTCCATTTCTGAGGAAAAAATACATCTGTTGGGATTTGTGTCTGGGTTGAAGGTGACTCTGGATTTGCTTGGCGTGGCAGGAAAACATGTTCATTGAGCAAATTCTCTGGAGGGAAGGGAGCCGGCAGAGCAGTCACAACCCTCTGTCCCAGGCTCTGTGGAGCCAAGTGACTCGCGCACTGCCCGTGATTAGGGTGAGGATCCCATTAAATCTAACTCCTGATTGCACTAAATGGTGCACGGGGGCAGGGCATGCCTGGTTTGACTCACCAGTGTAATCCAGGCCCCCATGCTCTGCCTGGAATGTGGGGGGCACTCCAGAAATGAGCAGTGGTTGAGTTGATGCACGGTTAAATGCCCAAGTATCAGGGAGATGGCCCAGAGCTTTTTCCAAACCGGGTCTGGCTGAGTTTCTGTAGCGAGGATGACCTCAGAAATCCACTGCGGGGCAGTGGAGGGAGCTGATGCAAAACAGAAAGGGAAGGAGGAAGCAGTGTAACTTCTCCAGAGGAACTTTGTGGCAGTCGCTCCTAATGAGGACGCTAATCGAATTCACTGTTGCTACCAGATCGAAGATTCTGCTCAGTCTCTCACTGAATCTCAGGCTCTGCCAGACCATTCACAACAACAAAGGTGCTTGAAAGCAGTCCTTTCTGTCTCCCAAGGACTCCATTCACATTGTCAAGTTTCACTGAGTAATTTCTTCTCCTTTGCCTGGCTATAGAAAACCAGGGAAGGAAAGGACGGGGTGGGCTGAAACCAGCAACAACCCATTTGTACCTTGTGACAGTTGAGATGCAAATAGCTGGTTGTGATGCAAATCAGAAAAAAAAAAAAAAAAATCCGAAAGGCAAAAGCACCAGAAGTCAGCCTTGGTGTGGGGAGCTCATCTCTGAGTTTCAAATTAGAGGTTGTGGCAGCCTCATTCCCCTGCACGCAGCGGCTGGGCGTTTTCTCATGTCTTCCTCGGTGTTCTGGGGAGCCACAGTGAATCGGCAACCCACTCACCCACCTGGAGTCCTACGATGTATATCCTTAAACCCCTGTGCCGCCCTTGCCCCCAACATATTCTTCGTATTTTCTCTCCTTGGGTCAACTTTTCCTCTCCTGGCCTTGCCTGCAGCCCTCCCCAGCCTCACCTCATTAACGTGCCTGGAAGCTGAGTCAGCCACTGGCAGTCCTGTTTTCCCTTCTGCAAGGGGACAGTTTGTTGTGCGGGTTGCAATTTTCTGTTCAGTTGTTCTAAAAAACATTCCTCCACTTAGGCGCCAGTGGATTACCTCTGTGTGGCATCCCCCCCACCCCCAAGGGTCAGACTAGCAGAAGGGGGCAAGGGACGAGGCAGGGTGGCTCAGAGACCATCCACACCTCTGGTTGCCTTACAAATCCCAGCAAGGGGTATTGTTCTTAAACAGTTGTTTCATTATGCACGACCCCTCCCTGCTGACCCAGATAGCTAAAACCTGACAGTTCCTCTCATCCACTGTCAGGAGAAATACCATTTGCGGACGTCCTGCCTTCCTTCTCCAGAGCTGGGAGCATTTGATTCGCTTTCCTCTGCCTCACTCCTAACCCGCAGCTTCTCAGAACACATTTGCTGCTGTCCTTGAGAATATATTGTGCAGAGGAGAGGGATTGGGGTAGGGATTGGAACACCACTCTCTTACCCACCCCAGAGAGGCCTCGGCTGCCAGATTCTGCCTGCTTCTGGGAATTGGAATATTTCAGAAAGGCCTTCGGGCCTCATTAATTTGCGGAACCCCGACCTTCCTGAGGGACTATGCTGAAACTTACGCAGGTGGGGGGTTAGTTATTGATTCAAGCAACAAGTGTTATGTGCACCAACTATGTGCCTGCCACTGTGCTAGGTCCCGGGGGGATTGAGCTGAAGACGTAGCCCCTGCCCTCCCAAAGCTTATATTTCTTTTCAGTGGGGAGATGGAATTGCAGTAGAAGTGGATGTTCAGAACTCTATAAACAGGGTGAGTGAGTGATGGGACGGGATAGGGCGATTTCTGACTCTGGTCCCAGAAGGCCTTCAGAAAGGTGCTGTTGGAGCTGAGGTTAAGTGGCATGGAGGGTGCAGCCATGCAGAGCTGTGGAGGCAGAACATTCCGGCAGCAGACGTTCCCCTACAAGGGCAGAGATCCCCAAAAGGTAAATGGCCTGGCATTTTCAAGGAGCAGGAAAGAGGCTCTTGTGGATGTCCAGGACAGAGCTCAAGAGGATGGGGGTGTCAGGAGGCCAGGCTGCAGCCTCATCAGGGTCAGGCAGGGCCTTGTCAGGCACAGGAAGGCATTTTTCTGTTACTGGGAGCGCCGGGAAGCCAGGGAGCTCATGTGATCTGAGTCGCCTTTCTCAAGGGGCCCTCTGATGGCTGTGTTCAAATGTGCAGGGTGGAAGCAGTGAAATGGAGTGAAGTCTCCTACACGGGAGACGCTCCCCACTCCCGTGACCACGCGCTCCAGTGTCTGACGGTTTAGCAGTTTAGCCATTTTCCTCTTAAGGTGTTTGCAGAAAGCCGGAGAACCCCCAGTTCCCTGATCATAGAACCCTAAAGGTCCAATAGGAACTGCTCTTTGGAACTCTTCCCAGGATGCTGAGTTGGCCCCTTCAACCTTTGTGACTGAGACCCTGTGATTTCAAATCAGCCCGGGATTCTGAACTCTGACCTCAGCCTTCCACTACCAGACCTACCCCGACTGCCATGAGAAGGTGGCAGAGAGAGCCCAAGCCAGGTTCTCAGCGAGTTCTTCTTCCGCACTCAGGTGCGATTCCAGGCAAGCCTCGTCCCCACGCCGTGCCTCAGTGTCTGCCTCTGGACAACCATGAGTTGGGCCAGTCAGTCTTTAAGATTCTACAAATCCTAACGTTCTCTTCATCCAAGAGGACGTGGGTGGGAAGGGGAAGGTGCCGCCCAGGACTTCCTGTCCACCGACCCTGCCGCCGGCCCATCCTCCTCTCCCTGAGCCGGCTCCATGGACTTGGCTCCGGCAAACCCAGCTCCCACTTCAAGCAGAGGGACTTGGGTGCCTCTCTGGGCCTCCTCTCTGTCCCCAAGCCCGGCCTGCCACGTATTTGTGTATTTGATACCCCCTGCAGCATCCCTTTTCAGGGAAGGACGAGAGAGGCAGTTGGAGTGGTTAGAAATAAAATGAACCAGCCAGACAGCCTGGGTGCCACTCAGCTTTCCTACTTTTGATCTGTGTGCCCTTAGGGGCTTATTTATCCTTTGATGCCATTTTCTTATCTGTAAAGTAGAGACAATAGCCACTGTACCTCACACAGTGGCTATCAGGATTAAATGGGTTCATATCTGTATTTAGAACAGTGCCTAACCCATAAAAAGTACTCTTGAAGTGGGGTATGGTGGCACACACCTGTAGTCCCAGCTACTTGGGAGGCTGAGGCAGGAGGATTGCTTCAGCCCAGGAGGTTGAGGCTGTAATGAGCTATGATTGCACCACTGCATTCTAGCCTGGGTGACACAGAGAGAACCTGTCTCCAAAAGAAAAGAAAAAGCATACTTTAGACATTAGCTATAATAATAATAATTAGTATTATTATCCCCTGTCCTTTCCATAGAGGAAGAAGTCAAGGCTCAGAGGACTTATGCGGCTTGCGCAAGGTCACACAGCTAACTGGTCTCAGAACTTGGTCTTGAACTCTCAGCCTTGCGCTTCTTGCATGTGCTGCAGGGCTGCCCATTTGCAAACATGGCTTCCTGTTCTCTCTCATCTCAGTTTTCCAAACTCTGATAATTTTTACTTCCCAGTGTCCGCTGAGGAGATGAGCTTAAGCGACAGCATTAGACAAGAGTGGGCACATCCGACTACAGCTGTCCAGTATGGGGAAAACGACTCTGCGTGGGGCCTTAAAGAAGTGAGAGCCCCCCATGAACGTGGGTAGAAAGCCAGCTTCTGCTGGCATGAGACGCACCCCAGCTGGGGGTCTCTTGGGACCCGAGAGTTGAGAATTCAGTCACAGGGCTCAAATCCACTGGGCGACCTCCTGAAGGTTTGGTCCCACTGAGCGGAGGGGCCTGCACTGCAGAGAGAACGGGACACATCTGGCAGGAACTGATTCCCGTTTCAGGCAGGAGATGACACGGTTCATTTGTTTGAGGGGCATAGAAAAAAAAAAAACAGAAAGAATTACCCACCTCCCTATGGAGAAAACATCACCAAATAAATTTAAAAAAAAAAAAAATCCACAAATGACAAGGAGAAAAGGCCATATTCCTGAATGCTGGGGAGGGGGTGTGGGGGGTGGGGGTGAGAAGGGGAGACTGTTCTGGTTCTCCTGCTCATCTCAGTCTTTATTTTTATCCGTCGCCCTCATTTTCCATTCCACATGTGTTCCAGGCCTGTCAGGCAGCAGCAGCCCACAACCTTGTATTTATTTAAATTTATTTTCACATTTGGTCCTGTTAGGCAGTTTGTCTGGGCTGCAGTGCCTCCCGGCCCTCCCCACGCAGCTCTGCAAAGGTTGCGTTCCTGGCTGCAGGCTTCTCCTGCGGGCCTCTTCGGCTTCCTTTCAGTCCAGGAGTTCTCAGCCCACCTGGGGAAGGGGGACCACAGACCACCTGAGGCATCCATGATCCTGGGTAGAGAAAAATCTGCATCTTTCTTTTCACCAGCTTCTAAGTGAATCGCAGCATTCCTTTAATTACAAATACAGAAAAAAACCACAGTGGTATTAGCTTTGCCTGTGGCTTTGACCCCGAGAGACATCTCAGATATTTTCATATCACATTACATGTGTCACAGAAATCTCAAATACTGTTTACGCTCATCACTGCTCTGAAATTACAGCATGGATGAGACCGGCTGCTAAGTCTCCTTGTTTAATGCATCCTGAAGCACATACAGGATTATAACAACCTTTGAAAATACTTTGATAACTGTATTTCAAAACAATTAGTTGACTTTGTGGTCCCTTGTATTTTAGTTTGTGGAAAATAAAAATTCTGAGAAGGGGTTCCTGGGCTTTGCCAGACTCTCAGAAGGGTCAGGCACAAAAAGATGAACACCTCACCCTTAGTCCCTGTACCGCACTAACCCTAGCTCCCCACTCAGGCCTTTACTGCAGGGCTGGCGTCTGCTGGTTCTTAGAGCTGGCATCCTTAGCTGTACACAGTGTGGGGATGGACAGGGTGGGAGCAGGGAGGAGACAAGACCAGTGGCTCCATGTCACGTGTTCAGCTGAGGACCCTCCAGGCCACTGTTCAACTGAGCCCCACAAATCTACACCCCAGCATCTGCCCGGTGGGAGAGACCCAGTCAATGCACATTATTGGCACCCCAGAGAGTAGGTGCAGCTGCTCTAAACTCTCCCCACCTGCTGGTGTGACCCAGGGCATGGACCTCTGTTTTTCCATCTCCTAAGCAACTTGAAGTAGAAACCAAACTCTAGAAGCAGTGAAGAGAGGTGAGGGAAAGAAGGGGGCAGGCTGCCAGCATCCCGTGGGGCAGATGCAGGGTTCGCAGTCTCGGATGTACAATTGTCCTATTTTCCAGACCTTTCTTTCTCCTCCATGAAGGAGGTAACTGGGTTCTGGCTGGAAAAAGGAAGTGGATGGATTGCCTCCAACATTCTGTACTTTTCACCAGCTTGTGATTTCATCAATGAAGTAAAGCAGAGAGGGGTTAGAGGGCCCTTGTCCAGGGAGCAACCAAGGCAAGACATGCAGAGAAGTGGGGATCTTCATTGCCTCACCCCATGCCGGAAGCCAGGAAGTCTGTCCTGGCTGCTCTTATTTTGAAAAAGTTCTCTAGTGACTTTGACTTCATAGCAAGGGTTGAGCATTCATGCAAAGCAATGTCGGCACGGCTGGTACCTGGGATTCCTGTGGCCCCGGTGAGCACCTCTCCACATCTCTGTTCCCCCATCCTCTGCCCTGGCAGCAGGCAAAGGGGTCCGTTTGCAAGGCCTTGGTTGTCTCACAGCTTCAGCTCACATTTCTAGAGTTCCTCCCCCAAGATTTAGTCTCTCCAGGAAAATATCTGTTGACTTCAGAGCAAAGCCATTCTGGAAGAGAAGCTAGAGGGAGCGGACAGTCCAGATTGTGCCTTTTCCCATTAATTTCTTCCCAGTTGCCTTCACTGAGGATCTTATTGTGATGGTGATGATTATTAAGATTTTTCTGTTCATGGCTGTATCCTATGGCGTGCTTCCTCCCAGTGGGCTAAGCTCCAGCCTCCCTGGGGACCAGAGGGTGTCCTTTGCCGTGATTCAGACAGCTCCTAATTTAGTCTCTTCGTAAATCTAATTAGCATGCTGTTTACACCAAGCCCCATACCCCTGGCAGGGAGTGTGAAGCAAGACCTGTGTGGCAGCCACCGTGCCAGTGCCCACCCCTCACCTCCTCCCCATGCCAGTTCCCGCAGCTCCCAGCCCAGAGTCCCCTCTAACGGCTGGAGTTCATCTTTCACGTTGGATTTGGGGAATTGGTCCCCTCTCACACGCCTCCCTGGCAGGCTCCTTCCCCACACCCACTGCCACCCACACTCCTGAGCAGGGCTGGCACCATGGGAAGTAGTGAGAATCATTTTATACATGGAGTCACGCTCCCTCAAAGCAGTTGCGGGGCTTCCTGAAGATCCCCATGGGAATCAGAAGCAGAACTGGCAAACTTTCTTCTCCGTGCCTCTTCCTCTCCCCAGCACCTCTTGGCTGGCTTGTGCCCTCTCTGGTGCCCCTTTGCTGTGGGTGCCAGTGAGTCCAGTTTCACCCTGGAACCTCCCATGCTCCCTCTGCCTGCCCCATTGGCCACCCCACCTCATACCCCTAACAGTAACAGGTGTGTCCTGTTTTCCCTCTGTCTTGAACAAGTCTGCGGTAAGCACAGCTCGGCTGGGAGTTGTGCCTGTGTGTCTCAACCCATCACCATCATGGGCCGTGAAATGTCCTAATCAATAAGTAACAGGAACCGCAGATTCCTGCTGGGCAGCTGTGGCAAGAGTGGGCCACCAGGAGCGCGGGAGCCTCCTCCCCAGCCCACGCTGGGCTCTGCTTGCCTACTAACTCTGTCCCCTGAAAGGGGAGAATGGTGCAGGGATGGGGCTGGGTGCAGGGCAGAGGGAGAGGCAGGGCATTTCATGGCAAGGCAAGATATCACAGCTGTGCTCTCACTCTGTCCATGCAGGCTTAGGGAAGATCCTCCCTTCTTCCTCTCCAGGCCTCAGTTTCTCCATCTGTTAAAAAGGAATTTATTACAAAGGAATTGAGAGTGAGATAATTTTTTTTTCTTTTTGAGACAGAGTGTCCCTCTGTCACCCATGCTGAAGTGCAGTGGCACAATCTCGGCTCGCTCCAATCTCCACCTCCTGGTTCAAGTGACTTTCCTGCCTCAGCCTCCCCAGTAGTTGGGATTACAGGCACCCATCACCACACCCGGCTCGTTTTTGTATGTTTAGTAAAGATGGGGTTTCACCATGTCCACCAGGCTGGTCTTGAACTCCTGACCTCAAGTGATCCGCCTACCTCGGCCTCCCAAAGTGTTGAGATTACAGGCGTGAGCCACCGCACCCAGCCTGAGATAAAATTTTCAACATGGAAGTTGTCATAGGTTTACATCCCAGGTTGCAAGGTGCAGAGCACGTTTTCCCCTCCCTGGTTCTGACTAGCGCTAGCATCAACACATGGATGATATATTTGCTCTTTTCACATGGGCAAAACGAGGCTCAGGGAGGAAATGTTTTAGGGAAGGTCACAGAGCATGGGAAGAGATGCCTGGTGGCTAGCGAAGCACGCAGATAGCAGGCGGCCACGGGCCTCAGGCAGGAACAAGGAAGAGATGCCCTGAGGGATGTACACGTTGAGTGGGAGGCGGGATCAGCTCATTCCTTCATTCATTCAACAAATATTTGTTGAACACCTACTGGATGTCAGATGTGTTCTGGCATCGATTCTTCAGGAATACACCAAATTCAGCCCTTGGGCAGCTAAGCTTCCAAGGATGGAAGACCAAAGAAACAAACAGATGCATATGATGTCAGGTGGTGAGAAGAGCCATGGAGAAAAAGAAAGCCGGGTAAGGGGATTAAGGGAATCCTGGGAGGGGTAGAATGGTCAGAGGAGGCCTTGACACGCCTGGATGAAGTGAGAGGGCACAGACTCTGGATATCTGGCGGAAGAGTGTTCAGGCAGAGGGAAGGGCAGGTGCAGTGGCTCTGCAGCAGGAGGCCCAGGGGCTGAGAGACTAGGTTGGAGAGGCCCAGGGCTGTGATCAGGGCTTTGCTCTCACAGGAATGAGATGGGAAGCCACCTGAGGGGAGCAGGCAGGCAGTGATGTGACAGGTGTGAAGTTTCGGGAGGACGCATGGTGGAAGACACCCAACTTCCGTCCATCCGCTGCCAAATGGAGAAACTGAATATGATGCCTCCATGCAGCGGCCATACAAAAGGCCACTCGGTGGGTGATTTTGTGTGCAGGAAACGTCCAGAAGAGGCAAATCTAGAGACAGGAAGCAGATTAGTGGTTGCCAAGGGCCGGGGGAGAGAAATGGGATGCTTAATGGGAACAAAGCTTCGTTTGTGGGGGAGACGAAAATGTTTTGGAACTAGATAGAGGGAGTAGTGGTTGTACAACCTAGTGAATGTAGTAAAAATGCTGAATTATACACTATCAAATGGCTAAAATGGTGACTTTTATG